TTGGGATAAAATAATCTTCCAAAAGATTCTTACCCCGAGAATGCCTATGTTTGTCCACATTCCGGCGACGGCCGACTTGTGAACCATGGCGGCAACCTTGGTTCTCTTCCTCTTCCATTGCCACTGCTATGAGAACTTGTTCATCGACTTGCCTCTGCAACTCATTGATTTCATCGTCTCTACGGTTTCTCTCCTTTCTTTCTCTCTCATGCCTTTCCAAGCATCTCCTATATTCTTCCATTGAGAATGAATGGAGTATGAATGTTAAACTCTAAGAAATGAAAATATTGAAAGATGTGGTGTGAGAGGTATGAGGTGAGCCTTTGGTTTTATAGAAAAATTTGGCAAGATAAAGATGCCACGTGGCTTGATTTCATTGGATGAAAATCTTATCTGAAATTTGAAATTCATCCGAAATTTGAACCAAAAAATCTTATCCCGAAATTTTATCTGATTATGAATAGTCTTGACACGTAGGAACCCGTAAATCTTATCCGAAAATATTATCCACATTAATTATTAAGGTAAATAAAATTGTGAATAAAACAAAAAAATGAATAGTAACTGCCCTTAGCTAGGGCAATGGGTGGAAACACAAAATTCTGATTTTGCAAGGGCAACCACTATTCATGTGAATAGTGGCTGTCCTAGCTCCCCCCTTGCCATGGCTAAGGGCAATATGGGTGGAGTTGCTCTAAGGAACCTATCAGACAGAGACCCAGGTTGACCAAACATCTTGGGTACAGATTGATCTTGATTAAAGGGGTAGCAAAGGGCACAGAATGGCTAGAGAAAGAGTCAGGCTTCCTTTGAAAAACAGACCTGCCAGTTCCAAAGCTGCCAACTTATGAGGAAATGGACCGGTCACAGTTCAACGTAGTATGTACTGACACGTGTTGGGGGTTAGGTCCATCTCTAACATGGACCGAATCACACGAATCAGTCACTTCAGACCAGAGTTGCTTGGGCGGGGGAAGCTGACGACTGTGTCGGGGCAATCTGGCACTTTCCAAGTTGAAGATGGGGCGCGCCACCCTCCTTTTCATCCATGGATCATACCACAGATTACCGAAATCAGAGATGGAGGTGGAGCGGACATTGTCCCCCTTGCAAGAGTCTTCACAATGTGCTAATCTCCCACAGACGTAGCAAAAGTTATTCAAGCCCTCATAGTTATAATCCACCCTAACAGAGTAGTGCTCAGATCTGGGGAGCCAAAAGCCCGTAGGGAGAGGTTTACGAGAGTCCAAAAGAACCATAACCAGGAGATAGCCCCGTGAGATTGCATGGTTTGCAACTGGATCCTCAACCTCTAGAACTTCCCCAATCTCTTGACCAATAATCCTTGCATTTGAGATATTCATTTTTTTCCAGAGTAAGGCCAGTGATTTGAACCCAAAAAAGGACCAGGTGGGCAGGGACCTCGTCAATTGTGAGCTCAGGTGGCCAAGCGACAACATTAAAGCAGTAATTCATTATATTCCAAGGCCCTCCCTCAAGAATCGTAGAGGCCACGGTCTTAGAAGTAGTTATTGTGAAAACATTCTTCCGGAAATAAGCAATTAAGAGTCCCCCAAAGCCATCCCAGGCAGACCTCAAAGCCCCTTTTATACCCCCTATATTTGGAATTTCGTCAGCAATGATAGAACCCACCAGAACCACTTCATAGCGAACCTCATCCATACCAAAAGAGTCTTCAAGTCTAGAGGCAAGGGAGTCAGCGATATGGATATTGGAGGCCATGAGGAGGACCACCAAAGAGACAACAAGAAGGGGCGGAAAAGAGAGCAGAAAGAGAGGGGGGGACCCAAGAGAAGGAAGGGATCTGAAGAGAAGCGAAGTCAAACCAAAAAGGGAAAAAAAGCAAAAGAGATACTACCAAAAAGGTATAGCAACACTTTACTACCACGTGGGTAGAGCATAAACCCACACAAAAGGGGAAAACTCCTAGCGACCCCGGGAGGTAAATAACTATCAGGAGGTATACCGTATTATCCTTGCAGTTATACTGAGAAGTATACTGTCTCTGATCAGGAGGATACAAACACCCTGATGTAGTAACATAGGTATAGACCTCCTGAAGATTATGGAATAGAAAAGGATCCCAGAAAGTTAGAAAGGTCACCACAGAAAGATTACCAAACCAAAGAACCCAACAAATGTAAGGTTTGAAGAGAGAGATGTGATTTCATAAAGGAAAAGCAACAGGCAACAAATGAAAGGAGCGATTATGGGTTCAGGGTTATGTGGTTTGGGTTTCTAGGATCGCAGACTCTCATCTTTCACACTCAGAGAAAGCTTGACCTTACCATAACCCTACCAACAAGGGAGAGTTGGTCAAGTCTGAGTCCAATTCACCAGCAGCTCTGGTTAGAGTTGTGGCTTTGTATTTATTTATTGTTTTTTATGCAAACGAATCTAATCTAAATTACATGAATGATTTTAAATATTCAAAGCCCTTTAGTGGGCTGGTATGTGTTTTGTATGATGTGTTTTCACAAGCGTTCTGCTATTAGTATTGTTAAGCCCAATAGAAAGAGGTAATTCAGATAAAATTGTAATAGAAGTCTTGCGCGTTATGAAATCTTACTTCTTTTCATGCCTAGATTGATTAAGGACTTAAAAATTCCACTTGCATGATGTAAGAACCTTAAAAACTTTTATTAAAGAAATGTGTCAGAATGAACAATACAAATTAAAGAAATTGATAATGAGCCCAATCGACCAGAATACAAGTAGGAAACGATGACAAGGGAATTAAAATATCTCCAAATTGGACAAACTTAATCACAGTTTGATTTAGACGTCAACTTGAAATCATTTTATCTGAGGAAGAAAGCATAGCAAAAGAAATAGAGTTTAGCATAGCAAAAGAAACAGAGTTTCAACATGAAATGAGAGCAAGTTGAGAAGAAGAAGATATTTTTTCAGGGAGAGATAGTCTGTCCACGTGCCTTCGAATTATAGTAATATAGCCCTTCTCAATTGCATAGTGACGGCAAGCCAAGTAGCCCAAATATTAGGGAATAACTTTACCTAAATTACTATTGAAATTAAGTAGCCATGGAAATTGGGGATCGAGATTCCCGAGTTTAATTTCCATAAAAGGAGTCATCATTTCACAATTTCTATTGAGTATGAATTCATTCTCATTTTGATTTCTGTCATTTACAAGATTCAACATACATAAATCCAAATATTGAAATTATTAATTGCAAGAAATTTAAACGATGGAGATCTAAATTCCTTCATTTAAAAATTCTTTGCAATTTTCAATTATTTCATCCAAACAAAGGGTTAGAGTTCTTATAAGCCCACATCCCAGCACACAAAATACAATGCGCTTAATGGGGCTTGCTATAAAGGTATAGAGTTTTTCAATATTTTAGTTGTGTGTAATTTTTTGTTAAGAGTTGTACCCTTTTTTCAATTAAGTTGTTTTGTTTTGACTCGGGGTGGACACGGTCCGGTTTATCCCTTGAATTGGAACCGAACCCCAAACTTACACTAAATCCAATTCGGTTTAGTTTTAATAAAAAGTTTCTAGAGGAACATGGCCAAACCAAGCTTATACGGCTTCATTTTGGTACGGGCGAGAAAAATATACAATAGTGAAAGAGGTGATCAGATAATGGGCAAGAGAGAGGAAAACATAGTGCTAGAGTTGTTATTTAGTTGGGTATTAATTGGGCTAAAGTATCGACATATTACTTGGGGTTACTAATAAACTTAAATGAATATGTACGCTTGACATAACAGGTCTAATTCAATTTGAATCAGTTTCCATGGCAAGAATTGGGACCGGAACCAATCCTAAACGGTTCGGTTGGTTTTTTAGCCTCCTCCATCGATTATAAGGGTCTTGGTTTACTCTTGATAAATGTGCATAATTTTTCCCAATTCGGACCGAACCAAACATCTTTAGGAATGCATTGCGCATAAAAAATTTGAACTATCAAAATGTTTAAGTACGACAAGCAAGTTAACTCATCAAAACCAACATTAATTCTTTCTCATGATCCTTCAACTTTACGCCCCTAGTCTCTACAACTACTTTCCATGCGTAGTTCGTCTAACCCAGACCACCTAGACATTACTTTGGATGGAGTTATCTTAACACTTGTATTCGAAGTCAAATCCAACAACCTCATATTGGCCAAGTTTCCTATTGCTTTTGGTATTTCCTCAAAAGAAGATTTTTCATGCTAAGGATCTCACATTTCGTTCGTTCTCTGAGTGTGGAGGTGTTCTTTCATCCAGATGCAATGTTTAGATAAAGTTGAATTGTTCATGAAAGTTATTACACATATCATTATTGTCATTGACTCAGTCACATCACTTTTTATTTCTAAGGAAGATCTCTGTGTTTTTGTTTTTTCCTTTTGCTAATATAGAATGTTTCTGGGTTAATAATAGCAAAATTTCTCCGCTTGCTGCTAAAGAACGTTTTTTTCTCCTCAAATAATCTCTGCGGAACCCGGTCTACATTGTATTTCACTCAAATTCGAAATCATTTAACTACTTATATAATATAAGCAGTTCTCGTTTTAGTGTTTTCTTAAAGCACTATGTTTGTCTATTTTATTGATAATAACTACATGTTTTAATCTAGATGGTATATATATACAACGGTCATCATGAACTCAAGGTGATACGTGTAGTCCAAGAGGAAGAAGTAGAAACTAAAAATAATAATAATAATAATAATAAATGTTAATGCTGATATATTTTTCAAACATGGTTAGTGCTGATATATTTTTCTTCATGTTATGTGGCTCAAGTTTTGGTGAATTTTTTTCTTCCTTTAAATGTTAATTTGTTGAAATTTCTTCTGATCATAAGCTACCAGAACTTTTCCGTGTTCATCTAATTGATTGTGGCCATTGGCTGTTACAATTGATATCAAATTACAATAATATGATAATACTTTAACGATTTAGATATACTAAAGCTAGTAGTCAGCTTCTAATTATGTAATTTGAAGTCCTTATATGTAGGAGATCACAATGGTTTTGTTCCAAAAAAAGAGAAGAGCCAAACAAAGCAACAACTACAATCCTTACACAAATATCATACTAAAACGCCTGCATAAACAATAGTATTAGTAACCGAGCACAGACTCAGATCCACTAGTTATATATATAGGTCGTAGGCCTCTCCGCAGAAATTCGGCAACCGATATTGACTCCCAGCTGCGATCGTTGCTTAATTCTCGGGGCAGTCACAAGTCAGGTGCTCGCTCGTACGGCGACAATACCAACATTTTTTTAAGTTTCCCAACGGGCAGTCTTTAGTCCTGTGGTCATAATTAGCACCGCACTTAAAGCACCTAATATAAGCAGCAACTCCTACCCAGTCATCACGGTTACGGTTAGGGTGGCCATCCTCCTGATTACAACATTTACAAACTAGCATAGCTTTGGGGCCGAGTTCTGCACCCTTAGGGACGTAATTGAGGTATGGGCAAATGTTGCGCGGGTGATCCTTCAAACAAACCAGACAGTGAACAGGATCCCCAGGGTCTGCACAAGCAAGCATTTGGGTTATTTATAGTCGAGCATGGTAATTAATCCCATTATTATGACACCATAACCATGTTCCAGTTCCTGACATACTTTCAAAGGTTTTTTAGGTTTTAGACATAAAAAAATTTTCACTTTTGGAAAAAGCCAAAGCTTTTTCAAAAAAGACAAAAAAATCACTCAACTTTCAAATCAAAGACATGCAAATGTATTGGATTCCTTAGGAAATCTACAAATAAATAAGGGCATTTTTGTCCATTTTTGCTTCTTTTAAAATTTTTCTCTCCTTTTGCTTTTTCCAAAATGTCCCTACTTTCAAAAGACCCAAAAATCCCATCTGAAAATTATGGACAACCAGGAACACATTTAAGAATTTAAGGGCTAGCTCACTAGTCAAGTCCCAATTTCATAAATTCATCCAACAAAAATACATTTCATTTGAACCTAAAACTATTCTTCTTTAGTTTGTTTAGAATATTTTTTGGGATGGAGGGTTTCCATAATTTTTTAATAAAATTTGTCTCAAAAACAAAGAATAAAAGATAAAACAACAAATAATACCATACCTTCGACGACACAAAACCATCGCCCCTTTCTTAGTTTATTACTGGTTTGCTCTTCCGCTTCCGCTGAACAAAAAAAAAACAAAACCAAACAAAACCAAACCATAAGCTTCTTTTGAAAATCTGATCCCATCCAATTTACGATTTAATTATGAAATTCCGAAATTAAAATAGAAATTCCCTTTCAACACCTTGTTTCCGATCCGTCCCAAATAAAAAGATATAATAAAATCAAAATCAAAATAAAAAGTCTCAATTTTTTAGTAATAAATTACCAGTAGTTTTTTGCTTTTCTTCGAGCAATTCTCCTCTAAGACGCCTGTGTATCGCCTTTTCTTCCCGTAGCGCATCCCTTCTGCTATAAAAGTCACCCTTGTAAATATAATACACGTCCTGATCGCCCTCATTTTCGTCATCACTACTGTCGTAAGGTTGCCATTCGAGAGTCCCCTTACCCCATAGCTTCTCTGGATCCAGTTTGGGCCTGGACTCTTTGTTGCAAGGGGGTTCTGGTGGAGGTCTTTTATGGGGCTCGATCTCGCTCGATCCGACTGACAACCTCTTTTCGCTCACGCTCATGGCTGGGTGAAAAAAGAGACGAGAGAGAAATTGCAGTGGTGGTGAGTTGTCTTTTAAAAAAATTAAAATGAATTGAGAAAAAACAAACTTAAACCAAATACTGGACAAGACTCTGAAATGGCATCCTCTGACTTCTGAGGATACCTATACAAAACAAAACTTGACAATAAATACTCACAAAAACTATGCAAAGAGAGAGTTGGTGTGTCAGTTCAAAATAATTGGAGTCGCAACCATACATACACAGAGACCTCTATTAAAGCCACATTCAATCCCAACAAACACCAGATTTCATCCATTAAAATTTGATTTTAAGACCTTAAACAAGTATGAGCATCTTACTAAGTAAAAAAAAATAGTTTCATGCCAGTACATCTATGTTGCTTGATTTCAGGCTTAGTTAATGCAAATTATTCACAAAGAACCAGAGAGCAGAAATGATTAGTACTCAATGTAAGCGAGTTGTTTAAGTTTTCACAATATTGTTCAAAGACCTAATCACTTGCCATCCCTCCGCAGATTTGGACCCTACAAATTTTCAAGTATTTATTTCTAAGAAAGTGCGCAATACTCACCCCAAACAATCCAGCATATTTTAAAAGTTGATAATCATAAATAAATAAGAAAGATGAAGCACATAAATTAATGCATACCAGTTCTGTATGCAACGAACACAATATCGTTTTCTCTTACAAATTTTGCAGCGAACAACCCTGCCTTTGTGCCTTTGTGACGAAGGAGAGGCTGAGAGAGAGTAGTGTGTTGTGTGCGGCTAGGGTTAGAGTAGAAAGGAAAGTACCAGATTGTTACCAGCGAATCACTTTGAAAGATGTACTCATTCCCAGATGTACTCAATCCCCAAATATTCCGTATATATCAGTAGCAATTCTTTCATAATGGAATGGAATGGTCTCCTCAAGATGCCTTGAAACCCTACTGCAACAATATCTCAAACCCTACTTTAACAAGTCTCATCCCTCACAGGAAATACATTCAACACTTACAGAAAACATAAAGTAAAAATCATTATTCTCACTTGTGTTAATTAATGCTTTGGGCAAAACTGTAATTTTCAGAAATTGCAAAAACAGCCCTAAAAATTCGAACTTGCACGAGAGGTATGTCTACAACCCTCCTCGTTTAGAGGGGCTTAAGTCTTCTGCAAATTTTGTAATCTGCCCCATTTGTTCAATGGAAAATCCCTGTTATCGAAAAAAAATAATTAAATAAATATGCCCATGTAACTTTTCCACGTTCTCTTCTCTTCTCTGTCTCCATTAACTTTTCTATCTTCCCATCAAGTTTCGAACCTAGGTGTCAAGCAGGCGGGAAGGGGGAGGCCACCACAGTGGTACCTGCTCTCGACTGCCTATCGTCTCTTTTCCACCATCAACCTGATGACAAAACTGAAAAACTGCATTAGGTGGACAAACAAACGACTAACCTTGCACTCTGATCCAAATACATCACACCGTTAACAGCATGAGCAATCATTTTCTTGACCTGTTTGAAGAGGAGCAGAAGAATAAGTCTCTTGTAACAAAATGCCTCACATAATATAATTCTTGCGTGCATATCATAATAGCCTATATCTGTACCATCCAGGAATGAATGATCATACTCAAAGCAGAACACATAAATATACGCGTGTGTGTGTGTGTGTAAAAACTGAAACGGAGACAGAATTCAAAAAAACCTTAATTAACACAAAAGTCGTCCAACAAAATGAACAGAAAAAAAAACACAATGATAGGAAACTCATTCTAGGCACAAGTTTGAACAACCATACTAACCCACCGAATCAAGAAAAAGACCCAAGCAACTCAAAACATTAGAATAAGCGATATATCAGTTTGTCTGGTTACCCATCTAATATAGCATTTTAAAGATAAAGAAATCTCAATACCTCCAACTTGTCCTCTTTAGCCCTAAGATTTTGTGGAAGTTTTCGGAATTCTTCAGTCAAGAGGAAGCGCTCTCCGACATTTTCAGGTGAAGCAAAGTCCATATGCATGACTGAAAGGGAAAAAAAAAGGTTTTTCGAAATATTTATATACATTGAACTCTATGGAAACTATGGAAACTATAACAAACGAATTTCATATGTCACGTACAGAGCAAGAAAAGTTTTACATTGACAATAAAAAATATACAAATGTATAAATAAACCCAATCCTAGATTAATAAGAGTTAAGGTAGAAAGCCTATGAAAAAAGATTCGGACATAACAAATATCAATAGATAGGTGGCCATCTTTCCCCCCATTTATACATGGAAAAATAAGCTACTACACTTGAAACTGCTAACAAAATCAATTCCAGGAAAGGGTCCCTGGATAATTCATCAAAAAAGGCCATGCATCCTATGGTAACTATACATTGATGTTTTTACTTTACAGGAAAATTATTCTAAAAAGAATGCAATTAATAGAAGGCAAAGATATGACAGACAAATTTCTGACACTAAATATCAGCAGATCTGCTAAGATATAAACCTTTAAAAAAACAAACATACAAAACAAAAAGGTAGAGCATCAACTACAAGCAAAAGTAAACCTGAATTTCATTTAATGAGTTACCTTCAAGTTTCTGACTTGATGAGGACAACAGCATCCCCAAGTTTTTGGACAAACGTCCATGGTTCAATTCCTATTTGAGTGTACAAAAGCATAAGATATATAATTTGAATCGAATTACTCAAAAGTATTTAATGAACTAACCATGTTCTTCCTTAAGCTTCTTTTTATGCTCCAGAGTCAGATAAAAGGTCTGATCATGTATGGGATGAATCACCCACAACGTCAAAAAGACAGTATGTGATGAAAAATTAGAATATATACGTATATATATATATATATGTTTGTAAATTCACTACCAAATTGGCACTGCATATTTTACTGAATCCTGTTAGAATTCATTGTTTTCAGTGTTTTGGATGTTTGGGAGAAAGGAAAAGATCACAGTAAACTGATGAATAAGAGAACGTTACTCTGGAGAAGAAAGCTGAAAGTTACTGTTCATACTATTGCACTATTCATCTATTTTTGTATATGAGAAGAGAGAAGTGAGATTCTTCTCTAACTGTACAGGGATTTAATCCTAGCCTTTGATCCTATCATCCTATGAGATGATTACACTTGTCACAATCTGACATATTATATCCTGGGCTAGATAAGAGACCACTTGGACTATGATCCAATGGCTCATATTACAAACAGAGTTTAAAACATATAAAATGAAATAAAATTCAAACAAAAACCTTTGGCTCCAAGGATTTCAGCTCAAGGGTTACACATCAACATTCCCTTCTAACCTTTTGGCTGATTTCACACCAAGTAGATTTCTGAGATACACAAAACGATCCTTGGACAAAGCCTTGGTTAAAATGTCTGCGATCTGATCTTCAGTTTTGCAGTAGATTAGTTCAATCTCCTTTGCTTGAATAGCTTCTCTAATGAAATGAATCTTTCAGCTAATATATCTAGTTTTCTGGTGGAAAACCAAATTCTTTGCCATTGCTATAGCAGAGGTGTTATCACACAGAATTGGTGTGCCTTCCACTTGCTCCTCTCCAAAATCTTCAAGTACAAACCTTAACCATTTAGCTTGTGATGTTGCTTCAGCAGCACTAACATATTCTACATCTGCAGTATACAAGGCTACTGTGTTTTGTTTAATTGATGCCCATGAGAACCTACCAGATCCTAGTGTGAATGCATATCCTGAGGTAGTACTCCTTCTATCATCTTCACTTCCTGCGCAATCATTGTCGCAATACCCTATTAAGGTAGCTGTCTTCCCTTTTATAAATTCAATTCCAAAGTCAAGTGTGCCCTGAATGTATCTTGGCTGTTCCCATGTGTCTTCTAGTAGGATTATGCATGAATCTAGCAAGCAAGCTGGAGGCAAACATTATGTCTACTCTTGCAGCAGTAAGATAGAGCAGGCTACCTACAAACTGCCTATATTGACTTTCATTTACTGCCTCACTCCCATCTTCCTTGCACAGCCTTTCATTTGCAACTAGTGGAGTTACCACGGACTTGCAATCCTTCAATCCAAACTTTTCAATCACCTTCAATGCATATTTCTTCTGATGAAGAAAGATATGTTTATCTGTTTGTACTACTCCCATGCCAAGAAAATGGTAGAGTAGTCCAAGATCAGTCATTTCATAATGTTGCATCATATCATTTTTGAACTCTACAAGTAACTTTGGAAAACTTCCAGTATAGACAATATCATCCACCTAGAGTGAGACAATAAGAATACCTGAATCTTCACTAGTTTTGACATAGAGTGTTGCTTCAGTAGGACTTTTCTTGAATCCTGCCTTGTTGAAGTAAGAGTCTATCTCATCATACTAGGCTCTTGGGGCTTGCTTTAGTCCATACAAGGCCTTGTTTAAATTATACACTCTGATTTCTTCATTTTCCTTCACAAAACCTTGTGGTTGCTCCACATAAACCTTTTCCTTTAAAACTCCATTCAGAAAGGCAGATTTTACATCCAGTTGATATAGATTCCTTTCCTTCTGTGCAGCAAGAGCTATCAAGGTTTTAATAGTATCCAATCTTGCTACTGGAGCAAACGTCTCATTATAGTCTATCCCATGCTTCTGAGAGTAGCCTTTTGTCACAAGTCTGGCCTTATTTTTTTGCACAGATCCATCCAGATTTAGCTTCGTTTTGTAGACCCACTTGACACCAATAATTGGCTTGCCAAAAGGTCTGTCCACTAGTGTCTATGTATTATTTTTCTCAATCATTTCCAGCTCAGCCTTCATTGCATTTCTCCATGACTCATCAAGATTAGCTTCTTCAAAACTTTCAGGTTCCACAATGCACATATTGCATTGAGCCATGGTTTCATTAACACTTATCCATTTCTTTGGTGTGTGATCAATAGCTTGAGAATTTTCACTTATTCCTTCATCTTGTAGAGTAGTACCTTCATCTATTTGAGTTTGTGTATCCAAGCTTTGACTTGGTTCATTTTGTAGTGTGATTCCTTCATCCATTTGAGTTTGTGTATCCAAG